GGATGTATAGATAAATACTGTATGTGGATGGCTGGATGGATGGATGGATGGATTGTTGGATGGATGGATGGATGGATGGATGGATGTATAGATAAATACTGTATGTGGATGGCTGGATGGATGGATGGATGGATTGTTGGATGGATGGATGGATGGATGGATGGATGTATAGATAAATACTGTATGTGGATGGATGGATGGATGGATGGATGGATGGATGGATGGATGGATGGATGGATGGATGGATGGATGGATTGTTGGATGGATGGATGGATGGATTGTTGGATGGATGGATTGTTGGATGGATGGATGGATGGGTTAATGATGGATGGATGGATCAATGGATGGATGGATGGATGGATGGATGGTTGGTTGGATTAATTGTTGGATGGATGGATGATGGATGGATGGATTGATGGGTTAATGGATGGATGGATGGATGATGGATGGATGGATGGGTTAATGGATGGATGGATAGATTAATGGATGGATGGTGGATGGATGGATGGATGATGGATGGTGGATGGATGGATGGATGGTTAATGGATGGATGGTGGATGGATGGATGGATGGATGGATTAATGGATGGATGGTGGATGGATGGATGGTGGATGGATGGATGGATGGATGGATGGATGGATCGATAGATGATGGATGGATGGATGGGTTAATGGATGGATGGATGGATGGTGGATGGATGGATGGATGGATGGATGGGTTAATGGATAGATGGATGGATTGATGGGTTAATGGATGAATGGATGGATGATGGATGGATGGGTTAATGGATGGATGGATGGATTAATGGATGGATGGTGGATGGATGGTGGATGGATGGTAGATGGATGGATGGATGGATGGATGGATGGATGGATGGATGGATGGATGGATTCAGCTCAGGTTCTGATTGTTCTGGAACAACTCGTCAGTTTAAACTTTGATCTTTTTCCTTCCAGATAAATAAATTAGAATAATGATCCATCATCCTCTAATGAACTAATTATTACCTGGAYGAGACAGGAAGTGATGTCACAGCCTTGTTAGAATAAAAGCCCTGTGTACTCCTTCAGGTTGAAGAGCTTCTTTAATAATTAAAGCAGAACATGAAGCTCTGTGAAAACAAACCCCTTCTTTGTTCTTAGTCTCTTATAGAACCTTTTTATCATTAATTATTCTGAAAGTCTTTTCAGGAAGTTTCTGTTGTTTGGGACGTGTAATAATCCTGGTGGTCCGATGCAGCTGGGCTCGTTCACCGTCAGCACAAAGCCTGTAAAGTGACAACTGTTAATAATGTACACATGATAAAAAATAAATCACAATGCTTCGACTCGGCAGCTGAAGACGAATGATTCTGTCACACTGATAATGACGGAGGCCAGTCGGTTCTGCCCGGTTCTATTTCGAGTCGGCCGCTCCGAGGCACTTAGGCAGATTTTTAATTGTGTCCCACAATCAGTTTGTTTACATCGTTAAAAAACACGAGGCTCAGAAGATAACGACACAAACAGCAGAGCTGAAATTTAGTTTTTTATGGTTTGATGATGTGGAAAACGATGGAAAACAAACATTAAACGTTTTTCTGCAGACATCACATTATTTTAGCTGTTCATAAATCTAAACCTACGGCTCTTTCAGCAGATGGGTTGTCACTTCGGTTTATTTAGAACGTAATACTTAAAAACAAACTATATTTTCAAATATTTTCCCCAAACAAAACCATAAAAAATGTTTTCAGTTATTTTTAAAAGTCATTAAATAAACTTCAGCTTTTGGCTGTTTTCATATGCTGCTGTTAGCTTTTAACCACTGTTCTGCAACTTTTAGATTTTAGCTACCGACAGAAGCAGAAGGTGGTTCTTAAAGAGACAGAGGGCAATTTCAAGGTGTTTAGA